CAGCCCCGCCCCCTGGTGGGCTGAGCTGGCCACACACACACACACAATAAATAAATGTAATAAAAAATAAAAAATAAATAAATATTAAAAAAAACGAGTGAATTACTTAGGTGGCAAATTCTATGGCAGATCAATTTTATCTTATTTTTAAAAGGAAGAGAAACACAAGAGACTTAGGATAGATATACAGCTACTTTCTCTGTAGAAAAATTAGTTCACTGAGAATAAAAGTTTGTATTAAAATTTTTTAGACAAGATATGTCTGCATCTTGATCTCTGAATAACTACCACAAAGACAACAATATGCAATGTATTAATTACTGTAAACGTCCTACTAACCTGTTTTAAAGCTGTTTCATTGCTATTTTATCTTTTTTTCTCATTAAAATGAATAAAAATTCAAAGTAAATTAAAAAATAAATAAAAGGAAGAGAAAAAACTTTTGGTATTGGAATCTCAACTTTGCTACTTGTTAGTTATATGACCTGGACAAGTAACTTTTCAGTGCCTCAGATTTTCTTATCTGTAAAATAGTCTTATAATAGTTCACTCTTCTTGGGATTGTTATAAAAAATCATACATAAACACTTGTGATATGATATCCTGTGAACAAGAAGTGTTCAGTGAGCATTAGCTATTGATAATTAATATTTCTAGTTTCTTCATGATGAAATGTAGGCAGTTCTAATCTTCAGAAGAAATTTGTGTGAAATGTTCAATATTTGATATATGGAATTATAGTATACCCCCATTTTGCTTGTCCTATAAATGAAGTAGAAATAAAATAATCATTTGTAGTATTAATCATTTAGGCTTTTCTGTATTAATTTATGAATACTAATCTAATGTCTTTATGTTTTCCTTTTAAATTTATATTTAGCTTAAATGCTCCTTAATAGTTAATGGGATCACTTTCTATACTAAGTTCATGGTGCAATCTAATTTGAATGTGAGAGAATATAGTTAAACTTTAAATGAGGTGTTTTGTAATTTAGACCAATTATGTTGATTCCTGTCAGTTTATGTTTTCAACTGATACAGATTCAACGTTTATTGGAAGCCCAGTCTCTGAAGCCTGGTTCCCCAAAGAAAACCTCTGTTGAAGACATGGTGCAAGATCCGAGACAAATGGAGCTGGTTGCCATGGAAGCTCAGCCTTCCCCTGGCTTGCACATGAGAAAAAGCGTAAGCATTGCTGTGAGCACAGGTAATTTCTTTTCGAAAGAGCTTTTTTTCTTTTTGGTTGTTTGCAGGAAGTTTGTTTTGGTTTTGCAGTACTAGGGATTGAACCCAAGACCTTTGCACTGAGCTACATCCTCAGCCCTTTTGAGGCTAGCCTGAACTATAGAGCAAGGCCCTGTCTCAAAGCAACAACAACAGGGGCCAGGGAGATGCTCAGTGGAATAAGCACTTCCCTGGCAAGCGCAAGGGCCTGAGTTCAATCCCTGGTTCCGCAAAAAAACAAAACAAAACAAAACATAAAATGTTAGTAGCATTTAACACAAGGAGTCTTAGAGAAGCGGAGGGGAGGTTGTGAAATCACTCTAAACATCTGAGATTGAGCTACTTTTGGAAATGTAGGTAGAAATACTGAAAGGTCTGAAGAATAGCAGTATAGATTGATAGCATAGGGTTGCAGGAACAACAGATAAAATTTGAGGTAATTGGGGAGATAGCTCAGTGGAATAAGTGCTTGCCTAGCAAGGTCCTGAGTTCAATCCCTGATACCACCAAAAGAAATTTGAAGTTGCAGAATGAAAATGTCAGAGAATAAAGGAAGATAAACACCTATATATTTCTAAACCTATTTAAACTATCATGTAGGTGGAACAAGGAGAGCAGCAAGAGCCATATGTACATTTTAAAATCAAATTCAGGTAGTTTTTAAGTAAAATTATTTGACTATGACTAACATAAACCACTCAGAACTAATATATACAAGGAAAAGGAATTTTCTGGAAGGGTATGAGGGTTTTTTCCATAATGTGCAGTGCTAAGAATGGACCTGGACTTTGGAAAGAGTTCAACAAGAAACTGAACCACTATCCAGGATTATCTAGTCATTCTATATGGCTGTTTTATTCAGTTCTTTCTGTAGTCTGTCTGTCATTGCTTTACATTTTGAAATACAGATGACCCAGAGCTTGTGTTGTACAAGCTAAGTTTATGCTACACAATTCTAGTCATATATGCAAACCATCTAACTATCCCTTGGTCCCACTTTCAAATTCCAGAGGACCTTAGTGCCCTAGTTTGGATTAAATTTTAAACTTTGGTTTAGTACTAAGAGGATTAAGAAACATATTGTAAGAATTTGTATGTTGGAGCTTCATCTTTCAGATTGCAAAAGTGACATCTCCCAGGAAATTGTATGTGTGTGTATAGGGCTAAAAGAATTTAGGAGTATTGTGAGCTAAGTATACAAAAAAGTGTGGTGGTATTCTATGCTTTGTAAAGTTCTATATTTCCTGCATTACAGTTGCTTACCTATAGTAATAGATTGGAAACTTTTGGGAATCTAAAACACTCGTTTGTATACAGTTGTATCTCTTTTTCACATGCTGAAACATAGTGCCTGCTCAACAAATGACCATTGAGTGAGTCATTTACACGCTTAGCTTGTAGTCTGAAATTAGTTATGACAGAATTTCAAACATAATATATAGAATTCAGGTATTTTAAGACTTACAGATTTGTATTCAAATTAATA